GGAAGTGCCCCCAGCCGCTGCTCCGGGAGGGTCGAGGTGTTTTATAACCAGCAGTGGGGGACGGTGTGTGACGACAGCTGGGACCTGAGAGATGCTGAGGTGGTGTGCCGGCAGATGGGCTGTGGGGCAGCCGTGTCAGCTCCAGGCTTGGCTCAGTTTGGGCCAGGGTCCAACCATATCTGGCTGGGTGATGTTGAGTGCACAGGGGCAGAAGCTACCCTCTCCGAATGCAGGTCCAGGATGGGTGAACCCATGAATTGCTACCATGGGGAAGATGCTGGTGTTGTGTGCTCAGGTAATTCTTTTTTTTTTCTCAAATGGCATCATTCAGGGGGGTGTTGAGCTATGTGGCTAGAAAGGTGGAGGGTGACTTTGCTGGCGGCATGGTCTCCTCTGAGCTTGGGTAACACCAAACCCCACGGAAGAGCTCAGGTCGCTCTTCTGCAGAGGTCTGACTGCCTTGTTCGGTGACTGGTCTTGCTGATGAAACCCCAGTGGTGTGGAGGACCTATGCAACCTGAGAAATGCTGAGCACAAGAATCTGAGCAAGGCAGTGAGAGACACACGACCAAGCCTTCAAGGGGATGGGAAGAAAGAGGCTCTACTTAGGGACCTAGGGGCAGAGATGTAGAGTTTGTTGCAATCCAGAAAACCACCAAAAGCTGCTGGACTGAGAGCAGGGTGGAAAGAAGTGACCCATCGTACAAAGACACCAGCGGACAGGAAGGGAAAAATTTTACAAATTCCTCTGCTTTTATCCTTTTCCAGCAAGCATGTCTGAATTTTCTCTATTTAAGCAGTTTTCTTGTTCTAGCTGATATTCATTAAAGCCTAGCTTTAAGTATCCAACATCCCTACAGTGTTTGGGGATGTTCAATATAATGGCAGGACCAAGCATGTCCTCCTCAAAGGTCCAGGTTGCCAATAGCATAAAAGGAGCAAAAATGGGCAATATGCATTAGTCACTATGAGCAGCACAGGCATAGAAGGAGACCTCCAAAAAGGGTGTCCACCTTGTCCTGTTTCAGACCCTGCAGCGTTGCGGCTGGTGAATGGGTCAAGCCTCTGTGCTGGGAGAGTTGAAGTGCTCCACAGGCATCAGTGGGGGACTGTGTGCGATGACAGCTGGGATGAAGAGGATGCTGCAGTCGTGTGCCGGCAGCTGGGCTGTGGGACAGTGGTCTCAGCCCCTGGCGCAGCTTGGTTTGGGCAAGGGCACCATGCCATCTGGCTGGATGATGTGAACTGCACAGGGAGTGAGGACACCCTCTCAGAGTGCCTGGCCAGGCCATGGGGGACACACAACTGTGACCATGGGGAAGATGCCGGTGTGGTGTGCTCAGGTAACGTGGCCACCTTCGGTTCAGAAAAGGGTGTGAGAATGCCCCATAACCCTAGAAAAATTCAAGGTCAGGTTAGACAGGGCTCTGAGCAACCTGATCTAGGTGAAGATGTCCCTGCTTATGGCAGGGGGGGTGGTTTAGATGACCTGTGGGTCTGGAGAACAAGTCTTATGAGGAGCAGCTGAGGGAACTGGGGTTGTTTAGTCTGGAGAAAAGGAGGCTGAGGGGAGACCTCATCGCTCTCTAGAACTACCTGAAAGGGGGTTGTAGCGAGGTGGATGGGTTTCTTTTCCCAAGTAACAAGTTGTTTTTCCCAAGGAAATTGCCTCAAGTTGTGCCAGCGGAGATTTGGATCGGATATTAGGAAAAATATTCACAGGAATGGTGTGAATGTCTTCACAGGAAGGGTTGTCAAGCATTGGAACAGCTGCCTCACCATCCCTAGAGGGATTTAAATATGTGTAGACATGGTACTTAGGGACATGGTTTAGTGGTGGACTCTGCAGTGCTAGGTTAATGGACTTGATGATATTAAGGGTCCTTTCCAACCTAAATGATTCTATGACCTTTAATGGTCCCTCCAACCCAAACCATTCTATGCTGGGTGATCACCTTGCTCAAGCTTGGAGAGTGCACACCTGCTCTCCAGAGGCAGAAACGGGGATGTGCACGCTGGAGAGTGAAAATAGGCTTTCATTTAGCACAAGCTGGGTCCTACGTTTGTAGAGCCCACTGGAATCGTCTTGGGCACCATGGCCAATGACATCATGTCAGAATGGGAGTTCCTGAGTATGCATTTAGCACATGTTCGAGGGGAGTTATCCTGGTCATAGGAAATATTATGATTAAAACCTTCCAGAAGGAAAAGCTACAGCATGGGGAATATCCTCATGGCTGAGCTGGAAAGATGAGGGCCATGGCTGGTGTTGGAAAGACTTGTCCCTGTATCCAGCCTTTCCATTCTCTTCCCACCTAACTTCAGACAAACCTCAAGGCTCCTGTGGTCCCCTCAAGGCCAGTGGGAATAGAGTCCATGTCCTTGTAAGAAGGATGTCTGCTTCCAGTGAGTTAGCCAAGACTGGATGCACTTGCTTGGGAGCCACCTGGACACAACTGCAATCTTCTTGGGGAGGAGAACCACATGGGTGGTACATCTTGCAGGCACCTCTGGTCTGGTGCTGGTCAGCAGGCTTCTTTGAGGAGAGAAATGGGTGACCATGGGATTGCAGAAGGGCCCATTCTGCAATCATCCAGCCCAGGTAGTGCCCACCAGGAATAAGCCGCTCTGCAGATTGCCCTGCTTGGAGCAGTCAGAGGGGTGGCACTTCGAATGGCCTTGGCTTTCCCAGCAGTCCACCCCTGAAACATAGACAGTCATGATGCACCAGATGGTGCATGGATGTGGGTGTTGAACAGCCATGACCAGTGCAAAGGTGCTACAGCACCAAGGGGACTGTGCCTGCTGGTGACAAGATCTTAGCAAAACCTTTCTTTGTATCTTCTTTTGTGTATTCTACTATCTCAAAACCATGTAGATTGGAAGGGATCTCTGGAGAGCTCTGGTCTAATCTTCCACTCTGTTAGACCAACTAGACCATATTGTTCATGGCCTTGACCAGTGAAGCTGAGAAAGTCCCCAAGGATGGAAATCCAAATGCCTTTCTCATCTCTGTTACAATATTTAACCATCCTCATGGGGGAAGAGTATTTTCCGCTTACTAATGGGAATTTGCCACAGTGCACACTGTGCTCATTTCCTCATGTCCTTGTGATGTCCGCTTATCTCCTGAGTTAGCTCTGGATGAAGAGACGTTTGCTTTCTCCCCACAGGCTCTGTTACCATCAGTCCTCCTCAGCCTCTGCCGCTGCTCCCATTGCTGGTCTCAATTATCCCTACAGTCTTGATGCTGGTCTGCGGGGCTCTTCTGTACCAGAGGAGGAGGCGAATGCAAAGCAGGGCTTTTAACTCCCCCCGAGGTGAGCTCTGCTGTGGGTGAAGAGGGCAATGGAGTTTGCAGACGTAGTGTGTAGCTGGAAACAAGTTTTGTTCAAAACACTGATGTCAGCAGAGTTGGGGCAGAAAGTTTTTTTTTCCTGTGGTTCATGTTGAAAGGAACTTCCTTTTCGGGTTTGACCTCTTCTTCCCCCTTTCTCTTTCTTTTCACTCTTCCCCTTTTACTTTGACGCCATCTTCCCTGCTGGGTTATGGACACACTGGGAGGTGGGACAACCCTTGGAGTCTCCTCAAACACTGCCTGCACTTCCCTCTGCTGCCTGCGCTGCCTGTACATCAGACAGGAGCGCTGAGCAGAGGACAGCTGTATGGGTTCCTAGCTCCTTGGCAAGGGCTGTTCCACCTTTAGCCTGAGGGGTCAGAAAAGATCAGGAATTGTGTCTTGTTCCTGAAGTTTTAGGGCTGTGGTGGAGACTCTTGGAAACTGGGGTTGAGCGCTTGGGGTTGCCTGTGTTGAACATCCCTGTGTTGTCTTCTTGAACATCCAACGCATTGATGAAGGGTGCTGTGTGTGGACCAAATGCTGGATCAAGGGTGGTTTCTGCAAAGCAGGCTTCATATCTGACTGCTGGCAGGGGTGATGGTAGTGTGCCCTCTGCTGCCACCGTTGTTGGCCAAGCCAAAGTGATTTGTACTGTCTCAAACAGAGTTGGTCTTGTAAAAAAGGGGAAAATTCAGGCTGTGTGGAGCAAACCATCATGGACTGAATCACCATGTTTTTCAGGTTTTGTGCGCATGGAGGAGCTGGTTGTCTCTGACACGTCCATCTCAATGCCTGGAGAAGAGCAAGTGGCAGCCAAGGTGTCTTCTGCTGGGGATGCCAACAAGATAGCTCAGCACAAGCTGTCATCAGCCCAGACCTAAAACTCCAGTGATGCAGCTCCGTCCCAGCACACAGCTCTTTCAGCAAGTGCCCTGGACCACCTACAGAGCTAGGTCACTACATCCACCACCCACCTCTGTGCCCACCTTGGTCAGTCACCCTGAGTGATGCAAGGCATGACACACACGGTGCAGCACCAACGGTCTGCACGCAGAAGACATTTGATGCGTAGAAGGTTACCTCTTTCAATTTGTTTTTCAAGCATTTGTGAAAATAAAAACATTCTGTAAGACTTGAGCAGTGTTTTACTGTTGAAGGATTTTTTGTCGGAGGTTTCTTTTCTTCTTTTTTTTTATAGCCAGTCAGTGGAGGCTGCAAAGTTTACACCAAAATGTTCCCTACAGCGGTTAAGTTTAACAGATTTGCAAACTCCACCTGAAAGCTCAGTTTAGGCCTCATGTAGATATTTAGAGCCATCTGAGATGCCTTAGTTCTAGGACATTGCTATGGGACTGGCAAACGTGACAAAGGACCTACAGGTCACTAGATTAATCTGTATGGGGGCAACTAGGTCTCACTGATCCCTTCCACCTGTTGTATTTCCAAACATGCTCCTGTGCTTTGTGTCCTTGGACATCAGTCTCCTGGGGCCTCTCAGAGGACAGGGGCTTCTTGTGAAGGGCTTGGAAGGCACAGAGGTGCAAGTCAGCCATGCAGAGGGATGCTGGCAAGAGGTTTAAGAAGCTCTGGTCAAAAAAATAAGCACTGGGTACCACCATGGCTCATGCCAACCCAAGTGGTATGAGACTACGAGCAGCCAAGCAGGACCCTATGCAAGCACCCTGCTGTGTGTTGGCAGGACACTCCTGCTCATGAAGAACCAGGAAAATAGATAGGTAGCCAACCAAAGGGAAACAGGATGAGCCCTGTCATAAATATGGTGGCTGTGGTGGGGTAAAAGTATGAACATCTGCAAGGCAGGGGAAGAGAGGAAAAAGGGGATGCATGCTGGGTCACAGGGGCTTAGAAGATGAAGCCTTGGAGTGTCCTGAGAGGATTGACCCAGCTGGGAAACTGAAGATGGCATGCATAATTTGTGGAAAGCATCTGCCAAGGGAAACAAGGAGTGCATGAAGAGCCCAAACAGGCCAAAAACTTGGAGAACTAATGAGTAAAAGTTGATCCTATAGTGTGCAGGACACTTGCAAAGGAGGATGAGACGAGACTATGTCCGAGTCTGTGGCTGTGGTATGTACAGAGGAGAGTTTAAGGCTGGTGGAAGCGCTTCTCTGAGTAATAACTCTTTGTGTTAAACTCATAGTAAGCCTTGTGTGAGCTTTTCATAGTCCAGTTGAGGGTGATGTTGGGAATTTTCAGTTAATACCTGCACGGATGTGGGTTGGTCCTGGGCTCTACTGCACTAAAAAGGAGTTGCCCAGGGCACACACTCCCTAGTTTCTGCCACTTTTCCAGGTTCTATGCTCACTCTCCTGCTGTTCCCTCAGTCTGAAGGTCAACGGCACCAGTCTTCCTCATGCAAGGGGGCTTGGCAGTGGATCATCAGGGATCTAGGCTTTTTCAAGGGAATAATGTGATATTGATGAGGTTTATTCTTCCTCCTCACCTTCTTCCAATTTCAGATTCTCATGTTTTCTCACATATCTTCACACTTTGTTCTTCCCTTATCTGCCCACAAATCAATATTGCACCCAAAATGAATAAATATGGGGCTTTTTCTCTGTGTGGGGTACTTGTTCTTTGTTACCCCTAAAACTGGTTTTGTCCAGATCCAGCCTGTAAGCTGCCGATAACCTTGGGCTTTCCAGTGTGCCCCACCTCTTATCATCCCATGGCTGTCCTCTTCACTGACTTGTGTGTTTCCACTTCTCAAGGCTTCTGCTGTAACACCAGATTTATGTTTCTCCATGGGTTTGAGAGCCCCAGGATACCCCTAGATGCCTTGCACTCCACGGGCTGCTTCTGGAGGGTGGTAGGGACTACAGCAGGGCTGGATCCTTCACCCCTTATCCAGTCTCCCAAAGCTACCTCAGTATGTCTTGTCCCACTGGGCGCCCACATCCTGGCACCATGACCTGGGGTATGCAACACATGGTCCCTTTTGTGTTGCAGAAACACCCCTTAGTCAGCTGAAACACACCTTATTTCAGGCACTTTGAGGTGAAAACATACATCAGAATTAATAGTTCTGCCTTAGGCCACAAGGACATCCTGTGCTGACTCTTGCCTGCCTCAGTCCTGCTCTCTGCTATTGAGCAGGGGAATGGTCATTCCCCTAATGACCCTAACGAGGGTAACGGAGATGCACATAGCAGGCTTTGCAAAGTTAGCTTTTCTTTCTTCTCCTTCCTATAGCTGTGGCCCAGGGTTATGCTCTACCTACCTCCACCCCTAGGAAGCACAGTTCCCTTTTCAGCCTTTTGCTGGCACAGTTTACAGGAGTTCAGCTCCAGGGTCCTCCCATGCATGTCTGAGTGGTCATCTGAGGCTGCTGCAGAGCCTCCCCCTCCTTCCTCTCCTCTGCAGATGAGCTGTTCTGGACACATCCCTGGGTTACTCCAGTGCAATGCAACCTGGATGTTTGACCAGGGTTGCTCAGTTGGCTCTTTACAGAAGGCTGTGAGGTGAGGCAGGAGATCCAGCCACCAATGGGCACAAGCACTCCACCCAGCACCCAACATCTCCTTGGGCACTAACTTAGACTCTACAACCTTCCCACCCTTCAGGTTGTGTTTAAAGCCCATGGAGTTGGCAAGAAAGGGTCAGGAGTGGGGTAAAGCTCTTTCTAAGGGTAGAAATGGGATCTGGGTAGCTGAGTGCATGTGTCTAACAGCACTGAGGGACGTAAGGGCATCTTGCAAAAAGGAACTGACACCCATGCACAGGTCTCTGAAACATCCAAGGTTGAGGTGTGCTGATCCTATATGCATTTTCCAGTCTGTTCCTGCAGTCCTTTTCAGTGCCCTCTGCAAACGGGTCCTGGGGGCAACTCCAGTCCATGCCCTGCTGCCCCAGGACACTGACACTTCTGACCCATCAGTCACACTGCCTTCTCTGTGGGGTGATAAATAAGGCAATGGCCCTTGCTAATAGAGATACTTCTCCATGGGATTCCATTTTTGTGTCTACTGAGTATCATTGCAGTGAGGGGAGGGAGCTGGGAGCTGTATCATACTGGGGGGAGCTGCTTCAGGAGGCCCTTGGGCGAGATTCAGTATGGAGGACACTAGTGATAGGACAAGAGGAAATGGCTTCAAGTTGCGCCAGGGGAGGTTTAGATTGGATATTAGGAGAAATTTCTTCACCGAGAGGGTGGTCAGGCATTGGAACAGGCTGCCCAGGGAGGTGGTGGAGTCGCCATCTCTGGAAGTGTTCAAGAACGTGGGGATGTGGCGCTTCAGGACATGGTCTAGGGGACATGGTGGCGCTGGACTAATGGTTGGACTTGATGATCTTGAAGGTCCTTTCCAACCTAGCGATTCTGTGATTCTGTGATTCTGTGAAAGGATGGGCAGGTGAAGGGGTGAGGGGTCAGTATCTGGGCAGGCAGCGATTTGCTTGGTATCCTCCTCCCCTACTCCCCAGTTGCAATCATGACACTGAACACAGCTGAGGTCCCCCCCCAGTACCATCTCCTGCCCCCTCCCAACCGTGATGGGGCTGGACTTGGCCCCTGGACAGTCTGCGAGAGCAGCTTGCACTGCTTGGTCGCCTGTGCCAGATCCAGAACCACAAGGATCCTCAGGGGCTCCGGCGTGGATCCGAAGGACTGCCAGGGTGCATGGCAGCCCAA